TCTCTATTTTCTATATTGAAGTGACTTCGTCTTTTTTTCACTAATTCTCTGTATTTTTTCCCGATTATCTGTGAAAATTCCAGTTCTCGTCTTATATACTTCTTTTCTATTAGTTAATTTCATATCATATTCTAGCAATTTCGATCGTGCGTTTGTTTGTTTACCTAATTTTCATATGATTGTATAACACAATTTGATCTGCGATTCCAAGTAACAACAATTCCCCAAAACTTCAAAAAAAATTTTGAATTTTCTTCTAAGATTTCTTTACTTTTTGTTTTATTCTTAAATTAAGAAAAAACTTTTTCTTGTTCTTCTAATATAATATGTGTAGGTTCTGATTATTTTTTCTTTTAATTAGTCCTTCTACTACTGTTTCTTAGTCTAGATTTTGACTTATTTCTGTTTTTTCTTTAGCTTCAGAAATGGTCAAAATGATCTACAGAAAGAGTTTTGTATATATATATATATTAAAATTTATTTAATAACAATATAATTTAAAACTATTTTGTATTATCATATTATATAAAAATTTTTTTTTATAAATTTTTAATTAAACTGTTAATAAAAATAGAAACATAAACTTATTTTGGCTTTGTTTAAAAAAGAAAAAACATTAATTAATAAATTATAATAAATAAATAAAACTCATTTTGTAGTAATATCTATAAATTAAAAAACAATTTATTAGAAAAGCTAATTAAAGAATATTTTTACAAAAACAAGTATCGGTCTTATTGGTTAATTGATAAGAATTCTGATTATATTATCTTCTTTATAGTTTTTGTATAATTCAATTATTTTATCATATTATACCTTAACTTACATAAAGTTAAAAGTTCAATATAATAACTTTGTATTATATACTAGTATTATTAGAATCGCTTCTAAGTTATTATATACTGGTATTATTAGAATCGCTTCTAAGTTGATGAACCAACTAGAACTTACTAAATCTTAAACATTAATATAAAAGATATGTTTTTAAAAAAAATTTTTTATCTATTTCGATCAAAATTTCTATTATAAAACAATATAAAAATTTTGCATAGTAGTGATTTTCAATACATAAAAATCCTATGACCAATGAAAATAATCTTGTTCTATGTTGCAAAAGTATCGATAACTCAAAAATTCACTTAGAAAACCACCTTTTGGGTTTTTAGTAAAAAAAATTCCTTGCTAAATTTTGCTTACATATATACGTTGCTAAAATCCCAGGTTCTCGCCCTAACTCTAAAGTTAAAAAAAGATTTTTTTTTTCTATAAAAAATTTTTAATTTTTATAAAAAAATGTTTCAAATACTAAGTTTAACTTTGAAATTCTCTAAATAAAATATATATATATATAATAATAGATTACATAAAGTATTACCAAAAACCCGTTTTTGACACTTTTAAGTTTATAAAATTACCAGAGTCAACTCTTAAAAATTTGATCAGATACGTAATTAAAGGCGTTTTCGGTTACAATACATTATATTTTTATGATACAGTACCAGTAAATTGATTAGTACCCAGAATCCTTATAATGAATCGGGTACTAAATTTGGAGATAACATATGAAAAAAGTAATAAATCAAATATAGCTATATGTAAATTCCGTGTAATACAGTACGTATTAAAGAATTAGGATGAAAAAAATATCTGGGTCTTAATAATGGGGACACAAGTCATAAGGAATTGATTAGTGAATTCTAATTATGTGATATCAGATGAGTTATCGAAACAACTAGAAAACTATGAACGTGACTTTAAATACGTTTCACAAGATTGAAAAACCAAAGCCTAGCTTTCTTCATATAACATACCAAACAAATATAATTTCTAGACTTTTCTATACTCTTATGAATTTTAAACGTGAATTTTCGAGTTGAACAAATAATATGGAATGTATTATCTGTTTTTTTTCACACGCCAACTCTGATGATCTATATAAATTACGTATAATATAATAAATACGTAATTTGTAATTATACGTATTGGTGTAATTATATTAATGAAAGAAAAAAAAACTCTTGGTATCATGTGATTGTCATTGTTGTACTCATCATTCGATATTATATCATCCCACCAAGCAATTTTATCGAATTACAGAATTAGGAAAAACATTTTTGAGAAAAAACTTTTCGATAAATAAATAAAATCGAAAAAAAATGACGAAATCTGTAAATAGATGTAAGTACAGAAGTAAATACGCCATCACATGTAATTATGCGTAACAGTTTGATGAGAAGAGTTTCAAACAATATTAAAATACTATGATTAAATAGGTAATAAATGTCATTTATAAACTCAGAGTTCTTTTTCTTTAGTTATGTAAGTGTTTACTGAAAATTAAATATTAAAGATTTTTTTTTTTTTTTTAGTATAAAAATAAGAAATAAATAAATAAATAATAAATAAATAAATAAATAATTTAAGTGTGATCTAATGGGCACAAATTTTGTTTGTATTATCCATTAATTAAAATTGATAAGTTATCAAAGTTGTGGGTCATTGCGCAAGTGAAAAATATATTCGACATTATTTCTTTATTTTTTTCCGGGCAGGTATTTACTTGTTATATTTCTCGACAATTTCCAAAATAGTTTATAAGTAAAAAATAATTGTTACGCCATTGATGTAACCAGAATCTCCACTAGGGTAAGTTTTTGATACACAATGAGTGTGACCACATCTTATAAATTATTTAAAACAAATTTGTCTATTGAATCTATTGAATTTACACTTTTTTTTATCGTAAAAATTATTAGTAAGGATAAAAAAAAATTTCACATAATCGATAAATTTATAAATTTTGAAATCAAAAAAAGCAAGCGTGAATTTTTTTTTAAAAAAAAGTTCGAAAATTATTAATAATTTTCACAATAGCTTACCGATTAATTACATGACTTTTAAAGCTGTGAGAGCCCGATCCTCATTTGTAATTTCCTATTGTAACCTTGTACATAATAAGAAATACCAAATTTATTTGAATAACATTCTAAGTTCGCTCACGATTTACAACATCATTGTCACATTCACGATTTCCTTAGGATGATAAAAATTGAATCTAGATATTTTTTCCCATCCTAAAAATTTTCCGTCATGACGACATAATCGGGATTAGCAGGTTAATGTATGAAATGACACACGAGTTACAGAAATGATTTGAAATTAGTCAAGACTTACCAGGGATAAATCATGCAATTCAGCATGGATGTATTTAAAAATGTGCGACTAGGCGAGATTAGTTCCATTTTGCTTTCTTGATGATTGACAAACAAGGATTAGTGTAAAAACTTGAATAAATCAGGTGCTGCATAAACGTTCACCGAAGTAGTAAAAAGAAGGGAGCATTCTTTCGGTACACTAAAATTACGTCTTAGGATAATATTATTTCGATTGTCACATAACATCAGGCAAATACCGGTTTAAGCTTGAATGCAAAAATTTCATACTTGAAACTTGAGAACTACATCAAAAAAAAAATCTTACCCGTGCGGGAGTTGTTTATTCCACTCCTGATTTTTAGTCAAAAAAAATTATCATTACAGAAAAAAAAAACCGAATCCTATTGTTTAATTTTTTAGTATCTGAATGATTATTTAAAATCACTAATTCTGTAATTATCAATTGTTGTACTTATTTTATCCACGCATCGGTTCCCGGTTTCCCCCTTTGATCTTGATATCTATTTATTATGATATACTTATTATAATCTACGGCTAATCGCATATGGGTATTATAAACAGCATACATTCACAATTGAAAAATATCCAAATTCGTTTTGTATATGCTATAAAAAAAAAAAAAATTTTTTTTTCTTTTGAAATTAAAGAGAATGTCTTAAAGTAACCTTTTATAAAATTATATATACAAATATATTATTATTATTATTATTATTATAATAAAAAATACGCAGTGTTACATAGTGACATAGTCAATACAAAATCAACAAACAGTTCAAACAGTTGCATAATTTATATGGCATTTTTTTTTTTTTTTATATATGTCTTTTAATTTAACTTTTGCTACGCGATATGATAAAAGTTCTACAAAAGCCCGCTTTTTTTTTTGGTTCAAACCTCGGAGAAATGTTCGACCTTATTTTCTAACCCTTTTGATATACCCTAAAATTTCTGTCTTTTTTTTTTTTTTTTTTTTGTACGTCCTGATAAATACACATCTTTTTTCCTATTTAAAAAAATCATCTATTTGATAACTTGCACAGTTTTACATTTTTTCTTTCGTTGTCACGATAAAGTGTAAAGAGGAAATGTAAACTTGTTAGTCATCAAAGTAAAGAATATATATATGACCAAACTTATGTACCAAAAAAATAATAACTCGATAAATTTAGGCCATTGTAATCATTAAACTTTGAAATTGTTTCTGGTGCAAGTTACGGTATCAATTTTATTTCGCATCGAAAAAAAAAAAAAAAAAAAAAAAAAAAAAATAATAATAATTAAAACTTGCGCAAACCAAAATAATTTCAAGGCAACGAACGAAACGTAAAATTTCACTGGCATTATTGACATTATTGACATTATAAATCATTTAATTGTCATTCTTGATAATGTCCTTTCATTCTTCTGGTTCTGAAAGGGTTTTACCACCCATTGTAACTCTTGATACGGATAATGTTACGCCGGTTTTACCACCTGTATCAAGCCTTGCTCCTCCTGTATCACCACTACATTCTCCTCCTGTCGACTTGTCAACTTCTCCATTTATTACACGTAATTATGTTCATTCAACACCATCTCAACAAATGGTAACAACAAAACAAGTAGGGCTGAAAATATACCCTCAATCTGAACGTATACGAACTCCTTTTGAAAGTGGTCACTTTCATTCTCTTTCAAATATTCCTCAATATGATCAACAATCTTATTCTTCACAAAGGCAAGTTAGAAGCGCGAATCAAGTTATAATGACTACTCCAACTCATAATCATAATATGATTTCAAGACCAATACATCATCCATATCAACATCCTATTTATCATCAAAATAATCAAATTGATCCAGCTATTGAATTACTTGCTGAAAAAAGACGTCGAAATGCTGGTGCATCGGCTCGTTTTAGAGATCGGCGGAAACAACGTGAACGAGAAATGCAAGACAAATGTCAATTCTTGGAAAGAAGAGTTCAAGAATTAGAAAGTATGGATAATGCTAAACGTGTTTTGGAATTGGAAAAAAAATTGGATGAAGCTATCGCTGATAAAAATGCTTCTCATGAAAAATTACTTAAATTAGAGAAAGAGGTAATATGTAATAATAATCTATATATTATATTATGATTTATTTATCATTCATCTATCACGTGCTTTAAGCTAATTCACGTGATTTTTATAGATTCATTATCTTCGTTCGAAATTACGCGAAGAACCTGAATCCTTAACTCCACCTTCCTCCGCAGGAGAATATGATTCTAAAGATGATCTTTTTAATTTTAATTCAAGAATATCAAGGCCACTTTCATCCTCGTCAACATCTTCGGATAGGCCTTGTAAACCAACTGACGTTAAATCACTCTTATCATGAAAATTTTATTTTACGAGACAAGAAATTCGCATAAAAACTATTGTAAAAAAAAAAAAAAAAAAAAGAAAAAAAAATTAACCAATTCTTGTTCAATTATTTTGTTTCGTCTTTCTTATTATACTCGATATAAAAAATATATATATATATGCTAGACTGATTTAATTTTCGTTTCATATGCGGCTTTAAATTCCTATGAAATAGCATTTAAAAAAATACGATTATTTTTTTTTTTTTTTAGAAATAATACATAATAAATTAGGATAGGATTAATTCTCTCGATTTCTCTTCGAAAACCTAAAAAATATTCAATTATTTGTATGCTTTTTATTAAATATCATATTCCCCTTGTTACAACTTTCTAATGTACATATTAAAAAAAAAAATCTATTTTTTTTTTTTTACAATACTTTAGCGATTTAATACCATATTTTTTTATTTTCTTTACGTAACGCTAATATGATACATATAGGAATTAAAAATAATTCATGTAAGATCAATTTAAAAATAAAAAAATAAAAAAGATAAGGTTTAATCTTTAATGCAAAATTTTTTTTTTGGTCATACTTAATTCAATCTTTTTACTCGTGCTTTTAATGAGATAGTTGAATATCGTGCTGCACGACAACGGCGATAATCTCGATTGTCAAGAATTCTTTGCCATCTTTCTTTTTTAAGATATGTTTAAATGATGCCATTGTTTTTGAGAATTCCGCTCTGACCATCTTGCTTTAATATTATCATTCACATTCGGTCTCAACATGAGCAATCACATGATTGATAATCTTAATATGGTCAATGTACAATTATCATGTCAGAAATATTAAAGATCTTCCTATTATTCATTAATAGTATTATCCGAATTTTTTTTTTATCACTGAATTTTTGAATAAGATCGTTATTATATGGATTTTAATAATTTATCAATATAATTTTTTCTCAGGATAAAGATCTGCTTATATTGATATTATTCGTATAGAATTATTTTTTTATTCATATTCGGTAAAATTAGTGTGACCTATAATTAACAAATTATATTTCAACATAAATTCAATTAAGTAAAATTATTATTATATTATTTTACCTGTTTCTTTAGCATGTTGTACAGCTTCTTGCTCTCCTTTCAATCCCTTTTTGCATTGCCCACAACGTATAGTGAAATCAGCTGTGTACGTATATTTACGTAACTATATTCAATAAAAAATTATGTTAATGGAATATATATAAATTATTTATTTACATTATAAACTTTTACTGTATAGTTACCTGCTTCATTTTCTCGGAAATCCCGATTACAGCACTTAAAATGGATTCATCCGATGTATTAAATATTGTTTGATCGTATTCTTTATCAGCATCAATGATTGGTGTCAGAGCGATCGAATCATAATCTTTAATAATAATTGTCCAAATGGAAATGATTATGTTCAAATTCTTCATGACGAATAATAAAATTGAACTTATTAACGCTTACGTACGTATACCACTGTAAAAATTGATTTTTTTTAGTATGACAAAGATATTAAATCTTTTACGAATATTGTAAACTGGAATAGATCCGACACGAACCTATATATCACATATACGCATTGGTTATAGATGCCATGACCTATAATGAATAAAATTCAGAATGAGTTGAAAATCATGTGAATAAGATTACGAAATTTTTACATCTACCGTATCGATCAACCCTTCCAGACTTGACATCAACGCTACGAATTTCTTTGAATAAAAAAATTAGTTATTGAAAAATATTTTTGATAAATAATATAAATAATTGAATTTTTTTTTTTTTTTAGAGTTCCAATTCGGATAAATCCGTCATCCATTTATCTGTATCTAAATTATCAGGATAATTCATATCAGAGAAACAACCGACAGATATTCGGATAATTACTTAGATATCAATAGTAAATGGATATTTGGATAAATTCAGGTCGAATATTTCAGATAACGGATAGCGGATATCTGATAATTATCTGAATAAATGCGGAACTCCAGTTTTTTTTTTTATTTACCAACTTTGTACTGAGATGCGAAAATCGAAAGTTCTATATTTGAACATTAAATGATTTAAAAATGAGATGAAACTGAGAAATCGCTTTTAAACCAAACCAAAATTATATTTTTACCAATAGCTCCTCCCCAACTATTCTTTTTCGCAATCCACGCACAATATTCGTCTCGCGATTTACCAAGAACTACATCAGAATAAGTTTCCGGATCTTCTTTTATACATTTAATAATCACTGAAAAAATAATTTAAAATATTAAATAAATTCTTATCAATGAAATACAAATTAATTGATATAGTTAAAAATCTTACTATTTCTAAGGTTTTGAATATCGGTTGATCTTTCCAAAACATAACTGTTGATATAAAATAAAAACACTTTTAAGTATTTTATATATTAGTAAAAGATAACGACCTAGATTCTCATACCCTGACATTCGTTCAAATATATTAAAATAAACTTTTTAATTGGGCTAGATCTTTTACAATAATTATCAAGTTTAAATAAATCTTTACATGACTTACTAATTGCACGAAATAAGCATGAATTATCATCTTCCATTTCCTAATTAAAACAATTCATCATTATCATAAGAATGTTTTTTTTTTAATTTATCGTTTAATTAGTTTTAAATTTAAAAAATCGATTTCATACTCTCAAAATAATTGATCCATTCTCTACAGGAACTGATATAATATCTGTTCCCGAAAAATTCTTCATATTAACTTGTTGACTAGTTGTTTCTGATAAGGAATTCTCAGTAAGAATAATTTGTTCTCCATTTTGAATGCCTACTGAAGATAGAGTATCTTCATCATTTGCATAACATACGCGTGGTGGATATCCTATTTTGACTAGTTGACGATCAATATGAATTCATGTTAAAAATCTCGCGATATCATTTTTTTTTTTTTTTTTAAGTTCGTTTAAATTTTAATAGTTCTTACGTTCTTGTCGAAAAGGACTTATTCCGCTTAGTGAATAAATTAAGCTTTTTAACTCAATAATAGTTGACGTAGAGTTTAAATTATCAATTACGTGAACTTTATCTTGGTTTCGAACCTTTAATTTCATATTTTTGTTATTAAATTTTTTAAAAAAAAAAAATCACGATTTTTATATTTATTAAGGGATCGACACAATCAATATTATCGTTTATTCTTAAATTTTTTTTACAGTTTTAATCTTCAAAATATACCAATAACATTTGTTAATTTTTTTTTTACTGAAAAATTATTTTATTATATAAAAATATACTTTGAGGCTTTAAGTTCAAGGGTACTCTCGTAGGAGATATGCAGTGTTGTCAAATGTCTTGCATATTGGTAATCGTCACCTCCTTTTATTATATAATTTATTACTCGATGTAATAAATAATATAATAAATGGATGTGACAACTACTAATATGCAAGACATTTTGACAACACTGGAGATATGATATCGTTCTTATTTTAATTATTTTAATTTATCAAGAAAGACACTTTAAACAATACAGAGTAGGGACCTTAGCATTATGCAAAATGAAAGGCCGAATTATGCAATGCAATTGGTCCAAATTATGCGCATGATGCAAATCACTCCCGAAATTATGAAAAATAATTATACGTAAAACAACCGATAACTGCTAAGGGCTGTGACAGATATTACCTAATATCCATTTACTATGAGCCCATACCCCTCCCCTCCCACCTAAGACCAATTAAAATGCTTAATTTTGTTACACAAAAAGTATATTTATCTCATATTATTATAATTATGTTCAAATAATTTTTAATTTTAATTGGCGATTATTATAGTTTGTGTAATCTAAGATTTTAGCTAACCCTCTCACCTTCTAAGATATTATCTAATATTTGTCATTGCTCTAACTTAATTAAATTAGTAACCTTTTATTACATTAATTAACTTCGATCTTTAATAATATCAGTGATACTATCCTTAAAATTATTACTATTAATTAATTAGTTGATCTTATTAAATTAATTATCTGATTTTCTGATTAATCAACTTTTATAATTTCATATGAATATTTAAGTTATATTATTGGAGTTAAACTCTAGATTTAATTATATAATATTTTTTCAAAACAATAATAACAATACAAAATAAAAAAAAAACTTATTATAGTACATAAATTAATATATTTTATTATTATATTTATACTACTCTAAGACTAATTTTAAATTATGATTTGCAATTTAGCAATATAAAATAAAATAAAAAATAAAAATAAAAAATTTTTTTACTGAAAATAATGAGTTAATATTATTTTCTGACAATAATAGTTTGTTTTTATTTAATAACTATGATCTAGTATTTTTATATAATAATTGTAGTTTTATATTTTTATCTAATAACTATTGTTACAGATAGTATAGTCTTCTTAGTATATTATAAATAATAGTGATATAACTATCTAATTACTTTAAGAAGTGGTGTTCAAGAAAGAAGTTTTTTTAACTAATTATAAAGACAAGTTTTATTTTACAAGAAGCAATTTATTTAGGTTTATTTTTTATTTTTTTTTTTATTTTTTTGATACAAATACTATTGGCTTAACTTTTATTAGATTATTATAGTTATGAAATATGATATATATTGTGAGAGTACAACTAGCCATACATACAATTTTAGGTTATCTATTTTAAGTAGTCCACCCAAAGGTTTTACACTAGCTACTATACCTGTAACTTCTTAGAAGATTACCTATTGAAACTTTCTAGTTCTATTTTATATTCGCAAATATGATATTACTAAGTTAACTATAACCTCATGCTACTCTATTTTAGAAGATACTCAAGCTAACATATGTTGCATACTTTACTATTATGAGCTCAGAGTCTTATCAGATAAGTCTCTACTTCAATATTCTCTAATAGATGAGTGATATGATACCTAACTATACTACTCTATATTCTAATTTAGCTTGCATATACCTTTATTTGATATTTATATAAACCTAGTTCTAGCTGTAGCCCTTCACTAGATTAGACTTTTGTATCTTTTCTGAATATTTCACAAAGTAGATCCTCCTAATTTAGTTAGCTGCTAAGCCAAGTTGGTATTGTTGTAATACTTAATGTTACAGACTTACTTGTATCTTTTCTGATCTATATCTTCATACTCAGAAATCTTCACCAAATCAAGCATTAACTAGTATAACTGTCAAAATCTATACTACTTCATCTAACTCAGAATTTCTATCATACAGATTCTTTGCCTATAGATTCTATCTCGATTTATTTATGTAATGCAACTCTAACATTTTGTTACACTTCTAATATCTGAACAACATTAGTGCAATATGATTTACTGAGTTACAACTCTAGAAATAAACAGAGTTTACCATAAGTTGAGTATAGATATCTAGGTAATTATTCAATTCTGTTTACAGTGAGATTTGAACTCTAGACCTCTTGTATAGTAGTTTAACAATCTATCTACTACACTAGATCACTAGACCTTATTTAGGTTTATTTAATAACAATATATTTATTAATTATAAATATTTAGAGTTAAGTATAAGAAGGAAAAAGAGAGTTGAGATCTAAACAATTAAAAAGCAAGAGAAAGAATTCTACTTGTATTTATAACTTTTGACAAGTGTTATATAAGTATCAGCAAAATATTATGTAAATACCTTATGCAAGTATTATTTAAGTATTTGTGTAAATAATAGTTAAGTATCACTATTAATAGTTTGATATAGTAAAAGGTACAGTACTCAGCATAGTTCAGCATAGTCTAACGCAGTCTTTCAGCATAATCTGGTATAGTATTAGCATAGTATTTAATATAGTTTTAACACAGTCTTTAACAAAGTATTTAGCATAGTTCAACATAGTACTTATTTTTTTTTTTTTAATAAGAGGATCTTGCTACTCATATTTTATTCAATTTAAAACTAGTGATACAATATAAACATACTACAAAATATCTAAGTATAATATAATATGCTAAACAAGCCTTATATCATATCTTTATATCTAATGCTAGTCTAAGAAAACTCTCTAAATTATACCAACACATTGAATTTTTGTTTACGACTTACTCAGATACCTCTAGAGACCCTAAGTACGATCAACCTACCAACAATTTACTTCTCAAAAGTTTCTGTGTGAGGTATATAGAACAAATCCAAATTCTTGACAGCTTGTTGACAGCCTAGTTAAAAACCTCTTGTTCACTTCCTATACTGTGCCAATATGATCCAAGATAAGTAGGCAATTAAAAGGAAAATAAAAATTTTAATATATAATGAAAGACACAAAGATCACGTATCATATAATAAAGTTAAATAAAGGAAACCTGCTAACAGGTAAAAACCTTTAAACAACAAAAACAAAAACAAAAAGAGTCTAATATTCCTCCTGAAATAGTGTAAAAGTTGTGTATATATAATACTAAAGCTATTCTTTAAATTCTCAAAGGAGTATAGTGCTATATTACAAAGAGAATATTAACAACTCAGGTTTCCTATAGCATGTGTTTGGCCTAACACGTGTTTATTGTTTGTTTATAGCATGAAAAACAACAGGCCACTACCCAATTGTTTTTGTCGATGTGTGTTGCAGATCTTTTGGAGGGAGTAAGCCAAATCTCCCAAAAAACACTAACGAGTTAGAGAAAAAATCCAAAAGACAATATCAGAGAAGTCCACTTCTAGGAGCATAAGATTTTGCTACTATTTTCTTGCCAAAATAGTACAAATATTTGTTAAACTAGCTATCTCCATACTAGCAAACTACTAGTGAGCGTCACTTAGAACAACAGAGGTATTTGATAATTTTTTTTATATCCACTACTTTTCTATAGTGTCTGGGAGTTATATCTAGATAATGCAACTAAAAAGAGCTTATACAAGGGAGTTATTCGCTTACAATATGTCGTAAAAAGCCTAAGAAAAGAATATTGTTATCTGTTATAGCAGAAAAGATTTTTTCGCAGATCAGATTTTTATAAAAAAAGTAGTCAGAGGATCGACAGGAAGAGTTGTTTATTTAGCATAGTACTTAGTATAGTTTGGTATAGTTTTTATAGTATTTTCTGACTATAGTCTATATTTTTTCTAAATATTACATAATAACCTTGAATATAACTTATATAATTATATAGTTAATATTCTTGACTACAAAGTTACTTAAAGGTATTTTTTACTATGAATATTTCTTAAGAGACTTTACTTAGAGGTGAATATTTACAATAATTTTTTCTACTCTAAAATATCTATACAAAATAATATAATATAAGAAATAACTAAATACCAAGCATATAGTGATAATAAATTCAACAACACTGCAGATTTTTTAGCATTACACTACTCACTTTTAGGCTTTCTCGAATTCAAACATACAAACTACTTCAATAACTCCTATACACTTCAATAGAAAAACTTTTCTGTTGAACAACCAACACGAAAATTTATTAAAAATATTTGTAATACTTTTACAATAGTTCTGTAGTCCTCACAATTCAGAGCACAGTTATAGAAGAAATTCTCGAAGCAGATTACCTGAAATATAACTTGAGCAGTAATTAACAACAACCTTTCACAATCATTTAGTTATACTAATTACAAGCTGAGTAAAACCAAAACCTTCTGAATTAAAAACCTTCTTAACAATCTTCTGACTATATCTCAATTACATAAATACTACTCTAATATTATCAAAACAAAACAATGTATCTTTTGTAACCAATCAGATAATAGCATTCATTGATTATTCTGTCCCAATTTACAATTAATTTTTGATATAATTAAATCTAATATACTATCTAATCTTACAACAAGCAATCTTGATATCTTATCCTCACAGCTTCTTCATCTTCAAAATTTATTTATTAATTATCACTTTTTACAATTACTATAGCCTTTTTCTAACAATATCTCATTCTATCAAACTATTACAGGCCTTATACCAAATAATCTTATTCAGTTACTATATCCATATACAGACTCTCATAAATTAGCTTACCAGCTTATAACTTTTTTATTCATAAAAATATCAAAATCAATATATAAACAATTATGGAAACCTTACTGTACCAAACTCTCTGAATGGAAGCAAACAAA